GTAGAAGTCTATGTATTCCTTGCAGCACTGAACCACATATACTGCATTTCTCCAGTGTTGTCTGGGTGTCTTATCTTCAGAGTAGTCAAGCTTCTGCCTCACTGTGGCAAGAAATACACTTTCTTATTTCTAAAGTGTTTGTTTCATCCTAATAAATACCACATGTTCTTGAGAAGGTGTGTGCATTTAATGGCCCAGAAATTGCTACATAAGGCTACCGGTTCCATTCAGTTTGTTTTATTCACAGAAATGTTACCAGACAGTAAAAAGATCTATTTCACACCACAGAGTTTCAAGTCCTGCTGTCAGTCTTGTAGTCATATTGCTCCAGTCCAACTTAACCTAGTTTGCCTACCTGATCTTGACCGCTGCTTTCTCTGACTGCCTGTCTGTGACCTAACTGAACTGACTAATGACCTTTCTGACTTTTACCAAACTGTTTCTGGAGTTTTGCCCAGGTTGGCATGGAATTGAACCCAAAACCGTCTTGCTCTGAGGTAGCAGGGTTAGGGTTAGCGCTAACTACCGTTCCGCTATGCCATTTCAATTTAACATGTTTGCATTTATCATGGCTTTCATGTGCTATTTTGTGCACCTATTTGCAATTATTATGTGTGGATTTCAGATCAGCAATTCTCATTGACTAGTGGGAGTGCATCTCCTTAGCACCTTCACTTTTAACAGTATCTTCCTCATCAAGTCTCCCAGAACACTTTTGCACACAATGACAAAATATAAATTAAAAAACAAACAAACCTAAAGTTCTTAGCAAGTACCAGTTCTCCCAGATTTATCCACCCACCTTCCAAGAAAAGCCCCCTCTTATAAATTATGCCATAATTTAAACCTTGATTTTACCATAAAATGTAGCATTACGTGATATTAAACATTTATAGTGCTCAGCAAGAACAAATTTGGAATTGATTTTCCCAAACCAAACCCCAGGTTTCTCATCAAGAATGAGTAGTAATAAATTGTTCTTAAATGTACTGATTTAATTAAGTTGCCATGGCTGTAGTGAAGTTAATTAGAAAGTGCATATGGCTGAGCCTTGCTGAAATTACATTTAAGAGAGAGAAATGGATGTGAAATTTATTTTATGTTTACTCATTTGACACTTTCCCATCTCCCTTGCAATCTTCTTTAAATTACACTGGAAGTGTCGGACATAAAAGACAGAGCCTAACAATGCGTACCATCAGTTACCATAAATTATCACACGTCTGTCCTCCAAAGGGCTCCTCCAGGACTGTAATCCATCCAGGATGGAAGGAGGAGAGGGGAAATGCTCACACTAACCTTTAATACTGATATGCCCTCAGGGTGTCTTAAACCTTTTCCTGGGACATTACACTTGAATTGGTGAATTAGGATTGTGACACAAATGTTGCAGAGTATATATAAAAATGTGTGAAAACTGAGCAAGCAACACTCAAAATGTAATTGGTAGCAAAAGTACGAGCACAAAACAACTTCAATCTGTAATGAAGCTTTAATTAAAGATTTGAGAGCATGTAGAAACTGTTAAACACTAAATGATTTTTGAGAGGAAGCTGTGGTCGCAGGGTAAAATGTGTCTTCCCAGTAACCAGTGTGCCATGCCTAAAAATCCCGATGATTGTTTTGTGCCTGCACCTCTTCACGGTATCCTTGTACATTCCAAATTTGTTACTGGTTTCTTTCCAGTGGTTGTTCTCTCGTGTTTTCCTAATGACAACGTTGACATCATCATGGGAAACAATACAGCTGTGAGTAAAATATATCCAACACCCTTTCTGATCCTGAGCCAGAGGTTTTTGCTCAGAGTCATCCTTGATGTGTTTGCAGTCAGTGTTCTAACTAGAGCCCAAGCCTGCAAACAGGCCCAGGGGTTTGAACTGTCCAACAAGACAATGTGTGACTGAGCTACTTCCTTTGGCTCTGACTCATGAAGTACTCATTAGTGCCCAAAGGAGTGAAACATTACTAGGTAAGTGTTTTGCTGCTGCTGTTCAGGAGTATAGTGAATGTGGTAAAAGACTTTGTTGACAATGGTCTGTTAATGGTCCTCACGGTCAGGTGGCACAGCAGGAGGACTAGAGCTCTGTATACCAAATAGTTGTCCCTGTTGAATGCCAGCAGGCTGTGCTACAATTAGCACGCAAGCATTGGTGGTCTGGTCATTTAGGTGTTACTAAGATGTACAATCATATACTGATGTGTTTCTTCTGGCTCAGCTTGAGAGTGGACATAACACGTTTTTGTAAACCATGCAGCACCTGCCAGCTTGTGGAAAACCCAAATCAGGTGCTGCCTCCAGCTCCACTGTAACTGGTGCATGCAGTGGGTGAGCCATTCAGACACATTGTTATGGACTGTGTCAGACTGTTACCGAGAGCAAAGTCTGGTAACCAGTTCATACTGACCATCATGTGCATCTCCAATTGTTTCCCCGTGGCAGCTCCTCTGCAGAAAATCACTACACCAGCCATTATGATGTATCTGATGATTGATCTGGCGGAACCTTTGACGGACTGCTGTTTCCTGCGGTAAACCGTACTCATTTCCTGTTTCCTTTATTTGCACTGCGTTGTGCTTGCTTCCAGATTGTTTAGGAATTAAACTCACTATTTTCTAGGTTCATCTGAATTTTTGAGTGACAACATACGCTTGCACCACTTAAAGCACTTGTTTTGCAGAAGTTCTTGCTAACTACCAAATTTAACTTGCTACTTTAGGTCGGCTAGTTTAGAAGCTAGCTAAGCTAGTAGCTTAATCGAGAGCAATGGCTTCCCCCTCTTCCTCTCCTCCTTTCTCTTGCTCGGA